AGGCACATGTCAGAGGCCCAAGCAGTGGGTGGCTAACCTTAGCCCTGTGGCTGGGCCCGGATCCTGAGGAAGGGGCTGGCTGAACGCTGCCAAGCACAGGGGGAGTGGATGAGCCCGGGTGGGGGCAGGTGGCAGTTGGAGCCTTTTGCGTGGAGGCCAGTGGGTCCAGTTAGTGCCAGTATCCCCCACCCCATAGCCCGAGCCCCCTCCCCAGCCCAGGCATCAGGCCTTTGCTTTGACTGCCATGGGCTGTGGGGCTGGCCCACGGCGTCCTGGTGAGGGAGCTCAGCTGAGCGGGAGGTACTGGAGCTGCAGAGCTCCCAGCCGAGCCCTGGACGCAGCAGCCCCAGCTCTGCAGCAAGGACGGGTGAGGGAACAGCTTGTGGGAAGCAAGCAGCGAGCACTTCCTTCCGGGCGCTTGTGCAACCGCAGCAGTACCCTGCTGGTCACGCTCTGGGGTGCAGGGGAGTTAGCACCAGCGCCCCCGGGCCCAGCCGCAAACAGGATCTGCGGACTTAGTCCCTGGCCAGTTAGCAGATACTAACTCAGCCAAGGAGAAACGTGGCCTGGAGCCCTAAGGACAAGGGACAACTGGCAACCACCGGTCCCAGCTTTGGGGGGGGGGAGCTGTGCTGGGGGGCGTGGTCTGAGGGGCTGGCTGCTACAGGCACTGATCCGTGGGCCCAGGCAGGGCGGTGCCAGGGGGAGGCGGATGGGCTCACTGGATAACTTGGGCCAGGCGTGGTCCCTGCTTGGTGTCCCTGATTTTCACTGCATTGCGGGGAGAGTGAGGAAGAGAAACAACCAAAGAAAGAAAGAGTGGGGAGGGATGGGGGATCCTGTCCCGGGGGACCTTCTCCCCTCCCCGCGACTCCATGGAGTTTATCCCACACACACACACTAGCCAGACCCATGGAGATGAGGCCTGGCTCCAGGGGGGAGAGCGTCCCATCCCCCCACCCCTGGGTCCCCAGGGATCCTAGGGGAGGGGTCGCGGAGGGGATGCAGTTCAAGGGAGAGATCCAAGAGGAGGGTTTCAGTGGAGGGGAGTAAGGGTCGCAGTGGGGGTGGGGCAGGGGCCCAGCGGGAGGGGCCCACGGGGTGGATCCCTGGGACCCCCCGCTCCCACACTCACATGGCCAGCAAGCGGGCTGGCACGGTGCCAAAGCGGTCAAAGATGTAGCCGGTGGGGAAGGTCATGAAGTTGTTCATGAAGGAGCCGACGGTGAAGACGAGTGACAGCTGCTCGTCCTGCGCCCGGCAGTCTGGGGAGAGCATGGCCTGAGACACTGAACTGACCAACCCACCCCAACAGCTCCCACATGCCCCTCACGGACTCCGACACCCCCACAGACCCCCCCCACCTGGATCCCAACACCCATACGGGACCCCAACACGGATTCACCCCCAGACACAGACCCTCTGCCCTGACACCCCATCCCCTCCCATACACACGGCCCCAGCCCCTATACCCTCTCGTCACCCCACCCACGGCCCAAGAGGGTGTCTAGGGGAAATGGGTGGCACTGGCCGGGGGGGGAGAGCTCAAGGTCGGGAACCAGAAAGGGAAGGAATCTTAATTTAAGGATATGCAAATGAGACAATGCATAGTCCTGCATATGCAAATAGGGGTGTTGCATTATTTGCATATCCTCATCAGCCTTCTGGCCCTGGTGCAGCACCTGAGATGGGGACATACCCCTATCCCCCCGGCCCCTGCCTCGCTGCTCCTTCTCCCTCCAGCACCGCCCACTCCCCTGCAGCGCTCCCCACTGCCACTCTAGTGCTGCCCCCGCCGTACCTGGGCCCTGTGTGCCATTGCCCGTGCCGTTAGCCGCCGGCACACACAGCTCCTCGAAGTAGTGCATGTCCTTGAGCACGTACACCAACGAGGCCCAGCCGAAGATGACGCCAGCAAAGCACATGCATTCCAGCAGGCCCGAGAGCAATGTGCCCAGCCGCTTGGCCAGTCCCGCGCCCTGCTCCTCCATGGCGCCCTGCCCGCTTCCCTTCTGCTCCTGGGAGGGTCCCTTTCTGAGCCTGGAACCACAAAGAGACACCGCTTTGCAGAGAGAGCACATGCCCGGTGCTGAGATGCAACTGCTTCTGGGGAAGGGGGTGGACCAGATATTAATACAGGGTTACCCCACCCAACGCTGAGATGCAGCTGCCTTGGGGGGAAACCTATATCCTAATATGGAGGCTAGGAAAGAAGTTGGTAAAGTACAGGCGAGGAACAGTCAAATGTAAGCATCCCATTTAAACACAACACATGGAGGCAAGCAACTGCATATAGACAACATGCACAAGTGCTTATACACAGATGCTCGACATCTCAATACGAAACTGGGTGAAGCTGAGTGCCTGGCATTAAAGGAGGATATTGATGTCACAGACAGCACAGAAACTCGATGGAATGAGGATAATCAATGGGGCACAGAAATGCCAGGGTACGAAATATACAGGAATGAGAGAGCAGGTCGTGCTGGTGGGGGAGTACCACTGTATGGGAAAGAAAGCACCAAGTCAAATAAAGTAAAAATCTTAAATGAATCAAACAGTTCTATAGAATCTCTATGGCTAGAATCTCCGTGCTTGAACAAGGAGAGTACAGCAGTCGGGATATACTACCGACCATATGACTGTGAAATGCTCTGGGACATCAGGGAGGCTAAAATAACAGAAAACCCAATAATAACGGGGGATTTCAACTTTCCCCATATTGACTGGGTACGTGTCACCCAGGACAGGATGCAGAGATAAATTTATAGACATCATAAATAACAGCTTCTTGGAGCAGCTAATCCTGGAACCCACAAGGGGAAAGAGGAATCTTGATTTAGTCCTCAGTAGCACACAGAATCTGACCTCAGGGGTGAATGCAGCTGAACCACTTGGTAATAGCGACCATAACGTGGTTAAATTTAACAGCCTTGTAGGGGGGAAAATACCAAAAAACCCACCACACTCATATGTAACTTTACAAAGGGGAACTAGAAAAATGAGGATGGTAGTTAGATGGAAATTAAAAAGAGCAGCGCCAAGGGTAAAACCCCTCCAAGCAGCTTGGAGATATTTACTAACGCCATCCTAGAGGCTCAGACAAAACGCACCCCCCACCTCCAAAAAGATGGCAGGAGGGCTAAACAGCGGAGTAATGGAAACTTCTAGAGGCAAAAGTAAGGAGCATAAAGTTTGGCAAATAAAATGTGAAAGTCAAAAAAGGATTTAAGAAGCAAATTGCTATAGATGCAACAACTAACAGTAAAAAGTTTTAAGTCCACCGGAAGCAGGAAGCCTGCCAAACAATCAGTGGGGCCACTGGACAACAGAGGTGTTCAAGGAGCACTCTAGGAAGACAAGGCCGTTGCAGAGATGCTAAATGAATTCTCTGCATCAGCCTTCACTGCAGGGGATGTGAGGGAGATTCCCTCACCTGGGCCATGCTGTTTAGGTGACAAATCTGAGGAACTGCCCCAAATTGAGATGTCAATAGAGAAGATTTTGGAACAAATTGATAAATTAAAAAGTAATAGCCCCAGGACCAGATGGGATTCACCCAAGAGTGCTGAAGGAGCGTAAATATGAAACTGCAGAACTCCTAACTGTGGTATGTAACCTACTGCTTAAATCGTCCTCGGTACCAGCTCACTGGAGGAGAGCTAATGTAACACTGATTTTTAAAAAGGGCTCCAGAACACTCCAGGCAATTACAGGCCACTAAGCCTAACTTCAGTACCAGGGTAATTGGTTGAAACTTTAGTAAAGAACAGAATTACCAGACACAGAGACGAACACAATTTGTTGGGGAAGAGTCAACACGGCTTTTGTAAAGGGAAATCATGGCTCACCAATGTATTACAATCATTTGAGGGGGTTAGCAAACACGTGGGGAAGGGTGACCCAGGCAATATAGTGTATGTGGATTTTCAGATAATCTTTGATAAGGTAACCAGGGACTAAGAGGGAAGGTCCCCTCATGGATCAGTAACTGGTTCATAGATAGGAAACAAAGGGGACAAATAAATGGGCAGTTTTCACAATGGACAGAGGTAAATAGCAGGGTCCCCCAAAGGTCTTCACTGGGACCAGTTCTGTTCAACATATTCATAAATGCTCTGGAAAGGGGGTGAACAGTGAAGTGGCAAAGTTTGCAGATGCTACAAAATTATTCAAGATAGTTCCATCCAACACTGACTGTGAAGAGTTACAAAGGATCTCACAAAACTGGGTGACTGGACAACAAAATAGCAGATGAAATTCAACGTTGATAAGTGCAAAGTAATGCACATTGGAAAATGTAATCCCACCTATACGTACAACATGATGGGGTCTAAATTAGCTGTTACCACCCAAGAAAGAGATCTTGGAGTCATCATGGATAGTTCTCTGAAAATGTCCACTCAGTGCACAGCAAGGATCAAAAAGGCTAACAGAATGTTAGGAACTCTTAGGAAAGGGATAGATAATAAGACAGAAAATATCATAATGCCTCTGTATAACCCAGGGTGTGCTCACACCTTGAATCCTGTGTCCAGTTCTTGTGGCCCTATCTCAAAAGGAATGCGTGGAACTGGCAAAGGTTCAAGGAAGGGCAACAAAGATGATCATGGCTATAGAACAGCTTCCATACAAGGAGAGCCTAAAAAGACTGGGGCTGTTCAGCTTAGAAGAGACGACTCAGAGGGGATATGAGAGAGGTCTATAAAATCATGAATGGTGCAGATAAAGTGAACAGAGAAGTGTTAATTACCCCTTCACACATACAAAAACCGGGGTCACCCAGTGAAATTATTAGGCAACAGTGTGACTCTGTACCTCAGGGGAACACCCGACACCCCCATGTTCATCTTTATAAAATGGTTGTGTGGTATCCAATGCAAAGTTTGTTATGATGAGTGTCTTCAAAAGGCTCGTGATGCACAGAGCATGGTCATTATAGTGATGTTATAGTAATTGTTACAGTGATGTTATAGTAATGTTATAGGTTATAATTTCATGTATATAGTTATAAGGCTGAAAATGTGTCCTCATGGCTTAAAGCAAGCCCAGGCAAAAACTCTCCAAGAACAGAGGGGCAGTTCACACCTCATCAGGGCAGGTATAGGACAAACCCAGCCCAGCCTCAGGAACAAAGGACGCTGGCCTAGGCAGCAACAAAAGAATCTGTTGGACTCTTGAGTGAGTCGCCCCCTTCCTTTGGGCAGTTTGGGACAGCGATGAGGTAATGCTCACCTGACTCTGAAGCGGGGGGGGCAAAGCCAAGGAGGAGGAAAGAACATGATAAAAGGGAGAGACATTTGCCATTCTCTCTCTCTTCCACCTACATCTACAGACACCACACCAAGCGACTGAAGCGCTGATCAAAGGGGAGAGCCTGGCTGAAGAGCAACCAGCCAGCCTGTGGTGAGAAGCATCTAAGTTTGTAAGGGCATTGAGAGTGTTAAGATCAGCTTAGAATGCGTTTTGCTTTTATTTCATTTGACCAACTCTGACTTGTTATATTTTGACTTATAATCACTTAAAATTTATCTTTATAGTTAATAAATCTGTCTGTTTATTCTACCGGAAGCAGTGCGTTTGGTTTGAAGTGTCTCAGAGACTCCACTTGGGATAACAAGCCTGGTACATATCAATTTCTTTATTAAATTGACGAACTCCTATAAGCTTGCAGCGTCCAGCGGGCATAACTGGACGCTGCAAGACAGAGGTTCCTAGGGTTGTGTCTGGGACTGGAGATATTGGCTAGTGTCATTCGGTTGCACAATCCAGGCAGCTTACCTGCCAGAGGCTGTGTGTGAACAGCCCAGGAGTGGGGGTTCTCACAGCAGAGAAGGATAAGGCTGGCTCCCAGAGTCAAGGATTGGAGTGACCTAGCAGATCACCAGTCCAAATAACACCAGTGGGGAATGTCACAAACAGGTTTAATAAAAACAAGCGGCAGGACCTTTTCATGTAATGCACAACTAACCTGTGGGGTGCAGTGAAGGCCAAAAGTATACCTGCCTTCCGAAAAGAATGGCTAAGTTCACAGAGGATAGATCCATCAATGGCTATTTGCCAAGATGGTCAGGAACCCCAGCCCATGCTCTTGGTGTCCCTAAACTTCTGACTGCCAGAAGCTAGGTGCGGAAGACAGGGGTGGATCACTCAGTCTTTGCTCCTTTCTGTACAATCCCCCTGCAGCTCTGGCACGGGCCACTGTCAGAGACAGGACACTGGCAATATGGACCATGGTCTGACCCAGTGTGTCAGCTCTTATGTTCTTATGGAGCGTAGCAGCTGTTTACAGATGGATCCACCACCCAACATTGAGATGCTGCTACCACTGGGGTGGAGTGTAGCAGCTCTTTGTAGATGACTCTCTCGACCAGTGCTGAGATATGGCTGTCTATGGGGTGAGTAGTAGCAGTTGTTTATCAGCCACACCACATCACCACGCAGGGATCCCTCACTGAGCACTGCAAAGCAGCCACCTCTGGGGTGGGGTGTAGCAGTTGCTTATACAGAGATCCTTTACCCATCACTGCAGAGAGACCACGCCGGGGGTGGGGTACAGCAGCTGTTTATGCAGGGGTTCCTTCCCCAGTGCAACGGTGCAGCTGCCTCTGGGGTGGGATGCAGAAGCTGCACTGAAACAGCGCACAAGAGCTGAAGGCTGGATGTATCCAGCTGGAACCACAGGGAAACTGAGTGTGGCAAATTAGAATTAACCCTGTGGGAAACAGGCCAGTGCATGGGGGGAGGTCTTGTGAAAAATGCCACTGGATCCTCCATGCCCTTGGAAAGTTCAGGAGACCTTGGTAGCATTGGGATTAGCACTGTGTGAGGACAGCACCCCCCACTGAGCCCCTGACCCGCTCCCTGCAGCACAGCGCCCCCTAGCACTCAGGTCTGCACTGACTCTGAGGGAAGTGC